GCTGCAACCCAGTGAGTTGAAGCCTTTGAATCCTGCAGTGCTCCTGCCTCCTGCAGCCTCTGTTGGAGTAAGAGCTGAAGAGGTGCTAGAGCCAAAACCAGTGCTCACTTTGAAATCATGGAGTCTTCGAACTCTGCTGGGGCAAACCAGTATGGCCGAGGGCTGTTTCAAATACCAAGGCTGTTCTCAGCCACCTGAAGACTTGGCATTAAAGTACAGCCCACTGGGAAATCTGCTTTCTGCTCACCCCTTCCTCCTGAACTGGCTATGAGAAAGGATTTCTAGAGAAACAGCATGGGCTGTAATCACAGAAAAAGTCAGAGAGAGTGGGCAAGTTGCTCTCAGCATTATCTGTTTTAGCAGGGAAAGCTGAGCCTGCCGCCACTGCTCCTGCTGCTTCCGCCGGGGGGGACAGGAGCTGGGGGGTAAAAATAACCAAAATTGCTGGACCCGCTCCTTCTGACAGCCGGTGACAGGGGAGGCTGCGAGCCCAGCTCTGGGATGGCAAAGCTCTGCTCTGCCCACACAGCTGCAGACATTTGCCGCAGTACCATGTAAAAGCTGTTACCAAGAGGCAAGCTGGCTTTTATACGGCAATGTGCACAGGTGGTTTCATCTGCAAAAACCTCAGCTGTTTCCACCTGCTTCTGCCAAGACAGCTTTGTGCCAGGAGACCAAGAAAATGAATCAGATCACTGAATATACCTTGTGGTCTAATTTGAAGACTATATGCCAGTGAGTGGGCCTTGCATAAAAGCTCAGTCATTTGAACCAGAAATTTATGCTGCAGGAGAAAGCATGAGCCCAAAAATTCTGGACCATACGAAGCCAAAAATTTCTCCTCCAGGACAAAAACATGAAGCCACGAAAGCACACAAGGGGCAAAACCAAAATGCAGTGAAGGATGCTGCAGGAGTGCCGCCTTTCCCTGGGGAACACACCAGAGGTGGAGGCTGTCCCCTGCCTCTCCATCCCCCTGCTCTGTGCCCTTTCGAGGTGAGGGGAGGTCACAGAGGTGCTCTGATGGCTCAGGGAAAGGCAGAGAGTGGGGGGCAGAGTTTTGAGGGAGGTATAAGGGAGCTTTTTCCCCTCTATCATGGACCACAGGGCTCCATCAGCATTTTTGGAGCAAGCTCCGGTGCTGCCTAGTGGGGAGGGCAGAGCTCAGTGCTGTGCCATAGGGCAGGCTGGAGCTCAAGGTGGGGCTTCTGGTATTGGCCCACAGCCCTGCAGACTCAGATGTTCCTATGGTTTGTGCCATCCTGTTTAGCATCTGTTGCACAATCAGAAAGAAGAAATAGTGCTTCGAACATGAAGCACCAACCAAGATCTGACAGTCTTGATGCTAGCACCAGATACGATCGCGTGCATTGCCACCTATCTCCTTGTATCTGTCGTGTGTGCTGTGCAACCACAGACTGGCAGGACAGCCTGCATCACCATCTATCTCCAGCATCTGCTGGGTCTGTAACCAGCACACAGCAGTCTGCAGCTGAACATGGGTGCTTGAACTTCATTTTTGGCTCTCCCAGGTCGCAGTGCCGCAGACCCAACAGACAGGGACACTGAAGGCTAAAGGGTGGCTCTGGGCATCTGCTGTTAGCCCTTATATCCCTTCATGTCTGGTTCTAATCCCTTTAACTTGCTTTAACCTCTGCAAAGTGTTTCCACTGAATCTCAGGTCTGTGTGCCCAGTGTGTCATTATGGCTGCATGTCTCCTAGTAGCGATTCTCCCACCTGAGTCGATGCAATGCCTGTGTTTTTGTTCCATGAATTTGCACACATATTAGTCAAATGACATTTCTAACAGCATAGCTTCCAATTTGTGTTCTACAGCATCTGACTACAACTGAAATATCACAAGTTAACCTTTCCCAGATTATTTCTTTTTCCTGAAAGCACTATACCTTTTCTGCAGTTACCAGTTTTTACTCAGATTGCTCTGGGAGTAACTCTATTTGCACAGAAGTGAGAGGAAACTTTTCCACCAATTTTGAAGGAATCCGAAACCAGCCCTTGGAAATGTGCTCTGTACAAATTTTCAAATTACCACATTGTGAAAAACATCCTCCTGATGCTGAGAAACTTATCCGGCACGCGATGAGGTTCTTACGCAAGCAAGGAGCAGGGAGCAGCTCTGAGGGTACCATGGGTGCATCACTTGCAGGGTGGGTGCCGAGCCCTCCCACCAGGACAAAAGGGTTTGAGCTTTCCCAGCTCATGTCCTTCAGGTCCCCCCACAAAACCTTGCTAGTCAAGCTCAGTGCAGAGATCTCACCCTGGAGGACTGAGCTTTCCCCAGCCCTGACAGGCTCTGGCTAAGGCTCCCAGAGGCCAGTGACAAAGCTTCTGCTGGTTTTAAAAAAGCATAGCTGCTTCCAGTACCATCCCTCCCTTTTGAAAAGGTATACTGCACTTAAGATTAAGTAAAATCAGAAAGTATTAGCACTGAAAAGACAAGCAGGTTGCAGTTATTCAGATTAAAACTTCCACTGCACTTGATTAAATATCAGCGCAATAGATCACTGTGAAGTCTGAGGACATGAGATACCATATCAGAAGGAAATAGTTCTTTTTGTTTTGTGATACCCACAGTCCATTCACATTACTTTCTTTTTATTTGAAACATAGAAGGCAGATAACATGACACCTTGTTGTGGAGCCAATTAATTGATGAGAAAAAAATGGGTTCTACTCCAGCTGCCAGGACATGTACCTCCTCTATTTGATAGTAAGTTTGTTTTTCGTATAAGCTATGTTGGCACTTCAGTAGCATCACAGTAAGTAAAGGCTTCTCGTATGATCGATGGCAATCATAAAGAGACTTTCCATCAGTTTCCAGTGTCAGCCAGTATGCCAGTTTCTGGAGGCTTATGGATCAAAGAAAATAATTGAGTTTGCACAGCCTTGACTAAGGAATTGCAAGCAGCTATTGCTCGTACTGAGATCATGGCTGGACAAAACAAAAGCAGAGTTTGCGTAGGACCAGAGCAGTAAGCACACAGGACTTCAGTGTTTGAACTGTTAGCATCACAAGCTAAGTAAGAGCTAAGACTTCATCAGTCAAGCACCTTTGAAAGTCCAGTCTATAAGCCTATACTGCTTCTAGCTGGCTGCCAGCCTGAAATGGAGCAAATGCTGCTATACACAAGCCATTTACTCTTTGCTACAGCAGAGGCATCTCAGCCTGGAATTTCCCAGCTCAATGATGTGAAAGAAGCGGACAGAAGAAGACAAAAGGAAAAGGAATCAAGGTAGGAATAATTAGACAGCACTCACACACACTCCTTTTTTCTTTTTTTTTTTTTTTTTTAACAGTTTCCTTTGTGCACTGCTTCCCCACTCTCTATATGGGGAAAGGACAGAAAATCTCAGAACTGAGACAGCCTCATTGGTGTGACCAGGAGGGCAGGTTCCCACCCTTTTTTCAGCAGCAGAAACAGAAGATGACAAGAGAAGAAAATTACAAGTTCTTGAGTTCCCAGAAAGTTCCTTGAAGTCATAGCTTATTCATAAACCAGTATAAATACAAAAAGTAGTAAGCAACTTTCAGTGTAGATGTGTACAGACAACAGCTACCAGACCAGTAAATGTTCCAGCAACAGTGAGAAGAAAATACTGTAACAGACATATGCCCTTTAAAGAAAAATACTAGTGAGATAATCTCACAGTACAAAATGAAAGAAATCAAAGAGGGGGAAAAACCTATAAGCAGGTCCACAGAAGTTTGAAACAAGGCATGCAGAGGAAAGATGCCTATATGCTGAGTTGTAAGCTGCAGGAGAAAACAGGTCTTTAAAGAGTGTTTTGCATTTATTCTGGTCTGTGTCTCCCCTTCTTGATTTGTTTCTCCCTCCAGCCTCCCAGCACTGGGAACTCACATGTTCCCTGAAGCAAGCTGAGCAGTTGTCCCATCTCACAACTGAGACCCAAGAAGCCAAGCGATACTGCAGTGCTACAGACGAGAGGGCTACATGACAGCCTCCTGGGCTCCTGGGACAGGATTCCTCCTGTTCGTAACAGTCTGCCCCAGACCACCACCTTTCCAGAATATTTCAGTTTCCTCCTGTTACATCCTCTTTCGAACAGAGCTGTATCTCACGCTGGAGGAAGGGATACGTTCAGGAGCCACAGGGACCTACTGTGGATGTCTGAGAAGAAAGAAGCAGCTCGTCTCAGAAAATTAAAAGACATATCAGGGATGCAGGGAGAAAAAGGACAGATCTGTGGAGTGGCTGGATGCCAGATCTGCTGTCTAATTATGCTCCGATCCCCTGAGGCTGAGCCTATTGAAGCATCTGGGAATTATTTCTGCAGATTGACTGTAATTGGCACAGTTACTGGAAGCTGTTATTATGGAAAATGAGCATGGTGTTGTGCATACACTTCATCATGGGAACCTACAAAAAGTGGAAGTAAAATCTTGCTCCTTTAATCGTATGATCAGAGTTTCCAAGCGTTCTTCATCATGACGATAAAATAGACATCTGTGTCTATTGAAGCACTGACTCCAGCATAGTAGTTCATGAATTCTTCTGTTGTGACCTGAGACAGAAGGATTTAAAATAGGAAAATGAACCTTTATTTTTATTAATGCTACAAGTCCAAAACACTCATTGAGAAGAACTCTAAATGAATCTTAAGACCTGCTATTTCATGTTGTTGCTAGAATCCAACAGGAAGAATGAAGACACTGAAAATTTGCATAAGTTCATTTCTTTGCTAGAAATAAGAGCTCTTGTCCTCCAGGAACGCTGGGATGGAAGTGAAACATGTGGAGTTAAATTAACCTCACCAGGAACTGAAGTAAAATCAGTGCTGCCCATAATGATAAATGTTTTAATGCATTTTTTTCCAGGGATGCTATATTCTCGTTCTTTGCATTATTATTAGTAACAGTGGATGGGGTTTCTGACACAACTCAGAGACAGCTAGAAGCTTTATATCCATTCACTATAGAGAAAATATCATTGCTCTAAACAGGTCTCATTTAAAGAAGCAAATGTTCTTACAAATACCTAAGAGTTTTGAATATCTTTCACAGGTATTTTGAGGTTGAATCAGTTTTAAAATGACCATTTAAAAGAAAAATCAGATTAGCAGATACAAACTGTGCATGTCTCTTGTGATGCCCTAACTCTCGAACTGTACAGGCGATTCTTTGAATAAACATCACATAGAAAAATATTTGGTCCTACTGCATTGTGCATTTGAGAGCTAAGTAAAACATGGCAATGGGGTGAAGTGAATACTGTAGACTGTCCTGCCATCAGGAACTGGTTACAAAAGGTGCAACCTCAGAAGTGCAAAGTGTTAAAGACATTCCACGAAGTGTTGATGAAACCTTATCTAGTTTGTTATTATGAACAGCTCAGACTGAGTATATCCCCATGCAAACAACAGAGATCCACGATCGCTCTGGGCTGGTCAGACAAGTGTAAGTTCAGACCAAAGAAGTCTGCAGACACTTAACAAGGGAGACAAAGCATGCTTGGCTCAGAGACGGTTACAAAGCAGATGCGTAAGATGTCCGTCACAGAAGGAGCCCAGGTTTTGCACGTGCCCTGAAGAATCAAGGTGGAGGGCATGAAGGGCTCACAGCCCTGCCCCAGCTAGTGGCTCCTCAGGAAAAGCCCCCCCCCCCAAACCCCACCCTCCCTTTAACTCTCTGTAGATAAATCTGTATTATGGACTGACTTCCAGGTCAAGAGTCTCAGTAATTACACATAGTGGAGAAGTGCTAACTGTAAAGTATTTCAAATACTAAGGAACCTACTTTTGAACTGGATCCTGGTGTTTATTCTCCTAAGTGAAAAACCCTCCAATATATACGGATCTTCAAAATCAGCAATTGTATGGGTTAGTGTGAAGATATACTTAGAGTAACCTATGAAAGCAGAGCATTAAGGCTACAAGCCTCTCAATGCAATCTCATGTCCACCCTTGTACCTCCTGCAGAGCCCCTTTGCCTCCGAATGTGTAAGCAAGCTGCGCCAACAGTCCTGTGCAGAGGTTATGCATCCATTTTACTATCCTCCATAAATGTGACGCAAATGCATGTTTGATACTACAATCACTCTCATATTTAATAATTTCAGTCAAATACTGAGTCAGACGGTGATTTCATGGCTTGACATTAGGTGTTTCACTTACCTTCCCATCTTTGTCATAGGGTGAATCAAAATTATCCAGAAAGGCCCTAAAAACTTGATCTTCTGTCCAGTCTCCATTTTGGTATTTGGGATGATGCTTTGCATTATACACCCCCCGTAAGTCTTCAATTGTTATGACACCATCTCCAGTCTTATCTAACTTCCTAAACGCCTGCATGATGATCTCTTTTCTTGCCTTTGACATGGGAGGCTGTAAAGAAATATTAACAGAAATATTTATTTCTGTCATCTACTCTCAGTTACAATGTCAAGTAACTGTTGTTGTTAATAGTAAACCTCTTTCAAGGCACTTGGGACAACAAACTGCTGACAGTCTACACTGTCCATGAGCTAGGAAGGGCAATACATCACCAAGAAAGCAGTGTGATTGAGACTATTCAGTGTCTATCAAATACAATAGTAAATGGACAATAAGAGAGAAAATGCTACCTACAACACTTTTCTATTTCATCCATTTTAAATATTTCTAACAAAAAATCACTAATTACCCTAAGCACTAATTATTTTCACAGAATCACAGCATGGTCTGAGTTGGAAGAGACCTCCGGAAATCACCTAGTCCAATGCCCCTGCCAACGGCAAGTTGCACAGGATCGCATCCAGGTGGGTTTTGAATATTTCCAGAGAAGGAGACTCCACAGTCTCTCTGGGCAGCTTGTTCCAGTCCTCTGCCACCCTTGAGGTACAGAAGTTCTTCCTCATGTTCAGGTGGAAGTTCCTGAGTTTCAGTTTGTGTCTGTTACCCCTTAACCTGTCCCTGGGCACCACCGGAAAGAGTCTGACCCCATTCTCTTGACACCTGCCCTTAAGGTATTTATAAACATTGATGAGATCCCCTCTCAGTCTTCTCTTATCCAGGCTGAACATTCCTTTCTTCATTATTTAATAAATAGTTCAAAAAATTGACCTATTTTCTTTCTTAATTGTTTAGACTTCAGCAGAGCAAAGATGCTCCAACCAAAGTCAGTCACACTGTGGCTGATGAGAGAAAGCCACCACCGGATTAGTTCATGTTATAAGGAGACGCATCATAAAATGACGGACAAAGACCTGAGACTAATGGGCTGAACCACACAGGTATCCAGACTGCAATATAGGAATTTGGGTACCTAAATCAAGACAGTAATTCATTTTAAAAAAAAATAAAGTATTTGCAACTATTCTGTTCTATTCTATTTGCAAGGTGATTTACACCTTGTCAATAAATTACAGAGACGTGTTGGCTCCTGAGCTCTCTCATCCACAAGAGTGTTGTTTAGGGTGATTTTCTCCTTTAGCATATTTAGATCAAAATAGAATATTTTAACTTCTGAAGAAGTACTGACTTACTAAGGTGAACAAAAGTGCTGTGTTCTGTGTTCAGCTAATGAAGAATCAAGGCTTTTTTCTCCATTTAATGCAGTAATAATGTAAATTCCCCGACTTACTCTCAATGTAACAAGAAATTCGTCAAAATCAATTGTTCCACTGCCATCTTTGTCAAATATCCGGAAAATCTCTTGTGCTTCTTCCTTGTCTATCATCATAGCATAATCATTTAATCCTTTCACAAACTCTTTGAAATCAAGGGTCCTGCTGTTGTCATCATCCATAATCCGAAATACTCTGTGGAAAATGTGTAATTTGAGGAGAATGCATAGGAAAACTTGGAGCATGCTGCCGCAGTTTAGCACAGTGCCAGAGCAGGGGGACACCTTACTGAGATAACATTTCCCCTTTGTACAGCTTCTGAGAAAAAAACAAAACAAAACAAAACAAAACAAGAGGGAGGGGAAAAAAAAAAAAACAACCAACCAAAAAACCCCACGTTTATTGACAGCAGAGATGACTTGCTTAGATTGGCTGCCCGAATATTACACAGCTGAAGTTAAATGATGTGAAAGTTGCCTTAACTGACGAGCCTTGCTATTCATTAATTCATTATACATTGAGCCGTCTAAAAGTTGGGCATGTAGACAAAGTTTCATCTGGTCACCTAGGATCCTTCCGTGGTTTATGGGGCCCAGGAGGGGTTTCAGGGCGCGATGCAGCTCCCCTTTCTTAGGGGTGGGGTGACCCACACTCTCAGGGTAACTGCAGAAGGAGTCTAGATGCCTCCCATAAACCAGACAGCTAACAGACCGCTACGCACAAGGGAGTAACACCCCAAAAGAAAGGAAGTACAAAATCCCCAGTATTGAGATACTTTATTATTGAAAATACCAAAGTGAGAGATATGTTTTATGTTCCCTCTCTCTCCCTGGCAGGAATTGTTCTTGATGTCAAGGAAACACCTTCCTCTGAGGGATTCACAGGCCTCAGCCCTTCAAGAAGCAAGCAGGTCAGTCCTGTCTCTCAAAGCACAGGACCTCCAAGCCCAGTCGCTGAGGGTTGTGGCATTTGCATTGGAACCAAGAAACTCAAGTTTTGGTCCCTGCTTAGCCTCTGAACCTCTTGTAGCTAAAACTATTAGGCTGAATAGTGGATTTGACTTAGACTCACCTCCCAAGTCCTTTGATGCCTGCAGATCCCCTTGCTAAACACCGCAGACGTAGTCTTTCTACGGGGTCAGTGGTTTTGGACAGGTTTCTTTTGGCCTGGATTGCCATCTCTCGATCATGCCTTGCTGTGCCCGGCATCTGGAAGACCAAAGCACTCATAGGGCACGGATTCACATACACAAGGCAGAGTGCCGAAACCTACCTTAGTATATGGAGCATCCCAATTCCCTCACTTGCAAGGTGCCGGCAACTCTCTCATGATGATTCATTTTGATCCTTTGTTTCCTTTTTCTTATATCCTTCTATCAGAAGGGGAAATTACAAATATGGGCTACCAACCCTGAAAGGAGAGCTCAGCCAACCCCCCGGTGATTAACCCAGATGCAAATATGAAAGTGTGGGTAAGAATTTGCTGCCTACACTGTACGAACACAGTGAAAACTGGTAGATGCACCCAGGACAGCACTGCTGCCTTCGCATCCACGGCAGCCCTTCCAAGACTCCTCAGCCTGGCCAGATTTGCAGTTAGTATCTGCCCACAGGTAGAGCTGTGACAGCAAACATTGTCCTGAGTAAGGATCTTTTCCTTATTTTTGCTTTTGTTTCACTGTAGTCCTAATTCTCCAGAGCAGAGCTTTCTCCCATTGCATGTCTGAGCAATGGCGATCACCCCGGGACCTGACCTCACCTACAGATGACACCTTGTGCTACTTTAACACAACTGCAGAACAAATTAATACATTAAACTTGCACAATAATTAGCATCCCAGGATTTCAGGACTCTATCAACAGTCACATAAGCCTTCCAGCTTCCCCCAGAGGAAGACAGTGGAGTAAGAAGTGGGAAAACTGCCCACGGACCTACAGCACTGCAGCAGCACCACCAAGAGCAGCACGCCCTGGCTGGCAGAGGGTCGCTTCTTCTCCCACAGGGATTATTTGTGCCTAATGCTAAGAGCACTACGGCTGCCCATGCCTCCCATACTGACTATTTAGTGGCATGTTGAATCCTAACCCTGGAGCACATGCTTAAGACCAGGACTGCTGCTCCCTAGCCTGGCTGCTGGGTTTGCAGATGACAAAGGTGCCCAAAATATTTTCCAGCCTTGAGAGCATCACAGGACCAGGGTGTGGTAGAGTCATAGAAGGGCTGGGCTGAGCTACAGCAGAGCTCTTGACTTGGAGGGCCCTTGGTGCCCTGCTAAGGGCACTCTGAGATGCAGAAGATGGGCAGCCCTGTGAGGCATTGTTAGTGCATGTTGCACTTCCAATCTCCTTGTCATTGCATGTGCAGAAGTGTGAATTGAAACAATCAGAGAAAATTCCTGAGAAAAACAGAATTAAGCTCTTTCATCTTAACTACTTTGCTCCTGTCTACAGAGCATTGGCAACGGCAGCTGGTCATGTCATATGTGCCGACTTTTGCAACCCCTTCAGACAACACCAGCTGGGCTTGGAAAAACAGAAAAATAAAAAGTTTTTGTTCCCCTCAAGTGGTTTCAGTACTAGTTTATTGTAGAAGTCTAGCGTGCTAGAAAAGAGACCATTACAGTCTTTGCTTTAGCCAGAACAAGCAATGTTCTTCTGGGAACTCATTAACGAGTGACCAGAGAGACCTTACAGCTATGTGAGATCAGCAGTCAAAAATGTTTTCTGCAAACAATGACCTGTCCTTAAGGGGAGATGTTTAGCTGGCAAGAATATAAAATACAGCGAGGTTACATAAACACAGTGCAAACTATATTTCCATTGTATAATTATGTACTATAGCTTGTATATAATGCCTACGAATCTGTATACAGAGTGCATAATGCATGCGCAGCACTGTGCAGTATGCCTCTGTACTATGTTATGTATACAGATCTATAAATACTGGGATCAAGGATGACAATTCTTTTCCACTGCACACTGCAAACTTCTGCACAAACACATACCATGTAAAGAGCGTAGTAACTCTTTGCCTCACGTTCAGTGGAGGCATTGCCAGTATATTGCTATGAGCATCAAATAATCATTGCAGCAAGATTCATGAATTGAGGCTAGGGAGGGATCATCTGATATCTATTATGGTCTCCTGTACCTCAGTAAAAGCTACTGAAACTGGCCAATCCTCAGTTACCTCTGCAGTAAGTGCAAAGTTTGCTTCTATACCTACAAACATGTCTAGCTGAGAACTCATCATCTTTGGGCTAAGTTGTTGCAGTATCAAATAATTTTCTTTTTAAAATATGTTCTTTTTTTCTAGTCTGAATTTCCCCCATCATTAGATGTTGTTTTACTTTCTTTTACTGTATTAAAGAGCTACCTATTAAAAATTCATCCAGATGCAAACACTTGAAGGTCCCTTTCAAACCCTCTTCAGGTAACTAATTAGACAGAGCTAGGAATCTCACTACAAAATGAGTTTCCAAATGTTAGATAATTTTGCTGTTGTTCCTGAACTTTTCCGGTTTTTTCCAGTGTTCCCTTCAAAGTGGGACAGATCTCTCTAATCATCTCACTAATGCCACAGGCAGAGATATTAACATTTTTTTCCCCATATATCATGGTTAAAAACACTAACTGCAAATATTTCTGCTGCTCTTCACAAATCTCCATTCTCTGTAATGTTCAATAACAAAATCACCAATACCATGCGCTGCATAAAACTCAACAATTAAAGTCTGTTTGTAAAAAGATTGCACTTATACATTACACCAAAGCCTCTTAAACATGACCTGGCTTCCTGTGTCACACAGCAATATGCATCTGAGAATCCTTTCTATACATTCAACAAATACAGAAAACCAGTTAAATATAAACACTGCTACATGCAAGCCTGGTCCGTAGTAACACATCTACCACTTCCCTGTTTCTGTTAGCTGCTGGTTTAAGGTAGAGAAAAACCCTGCCTAGACTGTTAAAAGACTATTCTGCATTGTGACAAAACAGATTCTGAATCAGAGCGAGGATGGAGGAATCACAGCCATTCACATGCTCTCTCCTTTCCTTTCATTGTGCTTTTGCCCCTTTTTGGATAATGAGAAGTAATTAAAGATACAGTCAGAATTTGATTAATACAACTGTATACCTTACAAATGTTTCATGTATTAATAAAAATTAACAAAACAAGAAAATGTCATAACCATATTTTTGCATATTTTTAATTCTTATACCTCGTCCACGATCACTAGGTGTCTCTCACAGTGGAATGAAAAAAGGGGTTGGTTAGTTTAGTTCTGAATGCTAGAGAGTTTTGCTTTGTGTAACAGCCTGGGTTATGAGCAATTACAATACCCCATGTTCTCAGCTTTGTTTGTTTCTATGGGCAATGCTGTGTTGTGCAGGCTGAACAGAAATGACTGAAAATATAAAATCTGAAATTTTTTTTTTTTTTTTTTTTTTTTTCCAGAAGCAGCTTAGGCTGTTTAGCAACCAGATCCCCTTACATCCCTCTAAGCCTGAGGCTTAAAACTGGAAGGAGTCAGATTGAATCTAAGCTCAGCAGCATTTCTTTATATGTTAACCTCCAGCTGAGACCAAGACCCTCCTGTGAAAATCCTGAAAAACACCCCAGTGTGGCAGGCAGAAACCCATACTAACCTCTGGATTATCGTAGGCTCCTGAAAGCCCCTGTCCTGGCCAAACACGAGTCGCACATCACCCCTGAGCAGAAGATCTCAGTCTCGGAATAGATTCAGTGGCCTAAACCAATTGCACACATTTGATTTATTCCTAATAATTTCCTTAAATTATTAAAAGCATGGAAACTGCCTGAGTATTTGGCAGCCACCTAAATGCTTCCTTAAAGATCTGGCTTCCAAGTCCCACTGACCCCTCTGCCTCCCCTCTGTCTCTCCATCATCCAGCTCCCATCCTCTGGCAGATGGGGCATTACTGCTCTTGCTATTTTGCATATATATGTATATATTTTGCATATACATATTTTGCTCTTTTTTTCCCCAAAAACATATATCTAATGATTATGTATATTAAAAAAACCTACTCTTGGCTGAACAGCAAGATCAGCTGATCAGAGAACGTCACTGCGAGCTAGCAGACAAGAGAGAAAATCCTTTACCTTGCAACGCTATCCTGCACCCGAGGTTTCCACCCAGGACGTGGGATGTGTCGGGGGGCTGGGACGGTGTCGTGCCCCACCTGACTACTTGCTCCTGGGCTCTTGCAGGGCTCAGGCGGCAAGTGGAGGGGATGCAGGGCCGCAGGCTCACTGCAGAGCTTCCTTGTCCATCTCGTTTTACTTGTTTACACACCCGTCTGCCTTGGGCCCCCCCTTTTTGGGAGGCCTGGAGTTTACTAGCTGGTCTCCAAGGTGACACTGGTGGCTGCGGTTGGCCCAACCTGCAATTACGTTGCTTCCCTGGGAGATTGCCGTTGGGTTGCAGGAGTCCTTTCATTTAACTTCTTTTTAAATCAATGCCTTCCTTCACCTCTCTGCCCACACGAGCTGGGGGGGACACTGGGAGACACCTCATGCTACCCCTCACTGAGATGCCCGGGGATGCCAGCAGGGGAGTGCAGCATCGCTATGTCAGCATTGGGCATGGCTTTGTTTTGATAACCTGTTTCTCTGCTCCGTAGTTGATAGAGTTGAATGAACTTGCTGGTTCAACCCTTTGCTCAAAACACAGTAGGAGAAAATAAGTAAATGGCTCTTGATTGTGTTTCACAAAAAACAAGTTGCTGGCTTTTTTTTTTTTTTTTTTCCTTCCTTAATTACTATTTTGAAGATCTGCTGGTGGTGAGAACCTCTGGGGAGATGCTGAGATTGTGTTCATTTGCAGCAAGAAGAAAACTGAAAAAGTCGAACACCCATATAATGAGGAAGAATTGCTCTCTGCCTAGACACAGCTATTAGCAACTCTGTCTGCAGAAGGTCACAAACACTGTATCAGTGACATAGTGTAACACTTGGAGAAAGAACTGGTGTATTGATAAACTCCTTAGGGGTAAAAAATAGCCTGCGTTACAGTCCCTGGCCCTCTCTGGCAGCAGCAAGCTGAACACACAGGATCAGGGCTGGTGGTAACGGCAGCTCGTACAGGTCAGTGCGAGAGCGCATGGGAAACAGAGCGAGAGCCCTGTTCTGGCCATGGATAAAACACTGAGCAAGAAGAAATGCATCGTTTCCTGACAAG